CTTCCTTCCTTCCTTCCTTCCTTCCTTCCTTCCTTCCTTCCTTCCTTCCTTTTTCTTTTTGAAAACCCAAATTAATTTATCTTTGCACCATGCCAAATGGCATCATATTACTGCAGGTGTGTCCTGAGCCGCCCCTCAAAGGGCACTCTGCCATCCTAAAGCAACCCAGTTTAAAATACCAGCAGAAAAGTAGTAAGCAGAAATAAAACACAGGGTAGCCAAAGAACAAATAGAAAGCAAATAGAAAAAGCAAATAGGACATTCTCCTTGTGCTGACCTCTTAATACTATCGCTACAGAGACGTCCCCACTCTATATTTGGCTCAAAAATCATGACTCTAGTTGAAATCAAATAAAAAATTTATGCTTTCACTCAGTATAAAACACACACACACACACACAGAGACTAAAATCTTCCTGGATTTTATCCAGTTTTTGGTGACAGGTATGAATATCTCCATGCTGCTTCCCTAGCAGAAGCAGATTGAGCTCTTCCAGGTTTGGTTTGGTTTTTAAACTTCCCAGTCTGATCTGTTGCCCTTAGATTTCCTGATGGATCCCTGACCAAGGACTAACCAGGACCAACCTGGATCAGGCAAAGTTCACTATAGATAAGCTCTTTCTGTTCACGCAACCCCACTTTGCTGTCCCATCCCTCCAGAGATTGCTGAGTCCCTTGCCATAATTATCTTGCCATAATTATCTTGCATTTCTCCACTTTGTCCCATGGCCCTTGGAAATGAGCTCATGTGTCCTGTTCAGAAGTTGTAAGAGAACATAACTATTGTGCCATGGAATTTAAACTAATTTAACTGGGGGGTTTTAATGACTGCCATAAAATCAACTATGGCCTACTTTTCAGTTGTTTTTTCAAATTCCAATAGCAGTGATCATACTCCAAAATGCAAAGAAACAGCACAGATCTCTCACTGGAAAATGCGACAGAGCTCTGATTCCCATCTGTATGGCTCCCGCTCCCGTTTTAAGTTCATGTCGCATTTTTATTCTTTTTTCTTCTTCTTCTCCTTCTTCTGTTGAAGGTTTGTTCCTCTTTCCAGATGGGTCCAACACAGCCTTACAACAGCCAGTTCATGAACCAGCCTGGCCCTCGGGGTCCCGCTTCCATGCCAGCCAACCTGAACCCTGCGTCCATGGGGGCAGGCATGACGCCTTCCAATATGAGTGGGCCACCGATGGGCATGAGTCAGGCCAGGCCTCCAGGAATGAGTCCTTTCAACCATGGGCAGAGGATGCCCCAACAAGCTTACCCTGGCCCACGTCCTCAATCGTTGCCTATGCAAGGCATGAAGAGACCATATCCCGGGGAGGTGGGTATCAGCAGCTGAGTTTGGGACAGGTTTGCTTCTGTCTTCTGCAAACTATGGAGATTATAGGTTTTTTAAAAGCAATAATGGGTTAGAGAAACATCACAGCATTAGCCACTGTTTCAGTCTTTGAAATCTGATGAAGAGACGATTCCTATGAAAAGGACTCACGTTGAATTTGCTTGCTCTATACACAGACATATCCATGTAGTTTTCTTGCCAACAGTCTAGTATAGAAATGGTTTGCCATTGCAAGCTTTTTTTTTCCTTCTTCCAGTCTAGCCAAAGTTTCCCGGTGGCTTCCCATCTAAGTATCAATCAGGTTCAAGAGTGTTTAGCTTTTCTCAAGATCACCTCTTAGATGGCGCCACTCCGCTTGGAGTAATGCTAGAGCAACCACCTTGTTATCAGGCAATAAGTCTGAAATGTTTAAAAGGGACAAGATGTAAAGGTTGAACAGAATTCTAATCTTGGATTATTTTTGTCTGTCTCAAAATGATGGGGGTCTTGTCTGTCATTAAGACCCATGGAAATTGTTCAGTTTCTCCCATGGACAAAGTGAAAGAGCATATCTTTGACTGAACTGCATCCTGTCTTTATAAACCCTTTTTCTTTTGAACCAAACAAATTGTCCTCACAAAAATCACTGGGGTTCACTTGCAGTGGCCAAACAAATATATCCATTTTTATTAAGTAAATAAAGCCAAAATAAAGCATTACAGGGTTGGTTCTGCTTCAGTTTAGTTGCAGTTCACCAGAGGTATCATTATAATGTATGGTTTTTGTTTTTCTTTTGGTACTTTTCTATCAACCAGCCAAACTATGGAAACCAGCAGTATGGACCAAATAACCAGTTTCCATCCCAGCCTGGTCAGTATCCTGCTCCCAATCCTCCGAGACCCCTTACATCACCCAACTACCCGGGACAGAGAATGCCAAACCAGCAAAACTCGGGGCAATATCCTGCTCCAGCCGTTAACATGGGGCAATATTACAAGGTGAGGATGATCTTTTGTTGATCCCCATCTTTTACTCATTCATCAGAGCTTATCTTCCCTATTTGGAAAACTTTGAATATGCATGATATAGTAATTAAAAGCTGTTGCAATCTGCATAAGTAACTGTTGCTTATATATTATTTTGATATTGGCCAGACATTGTTATAGGTACAAAAGCTTGTAATCAAAGCCATGAAGGTCCACATAGTCACTGCTGTACGAAAATACTTAAGAGTTCACAGCAGCCTTTCCCCATGAGGTCTTTCTCTAGATGTGTGCAAGTCCAGTCCCAGAATGCTCAGCAATGGCCATTGAAGATATAAGGCACTTCCACAGGGAGACTTCATTCCAGTTTAGAATCAGTCCTGGACTTGTCCAATCCCATGATATCAGCTTTGCCCACTCAACTGAGCTGTAAAGTATCTGAAATCCCAACAAGACCGGTCTTTTTGTTAAAAGCAGTGCAGCTCTGCATAGTTCATGGGTGCTTCTGTCCTCCTCTTGGCTGAAACGCTTGCCTCCCCCTCCCCGCTGCTCCTTTAACCCCACCCCACAGCCGTTCAACCACCATACCATCGTTCTTAGCAAGTGAAGGCTGGTGGTAGTGAAGACTTCCCGGCTGGCTCTGAACTGTTGGAATGTGGAGTGGAAACAGTGGCAGTGTGAAGATATCCACCCAGTAGATGCAAAAGTATCTAGAGCAGTAGAGTTAGAGAGCTGTGTTGAATTGTTTGTGGGGTCAGCTGGGTGAGGAGCAGGAAATCAAAGCAGTCAAGGAGCCCTAAGGAGTCAGCAATGCAACAAATTGTTTTCCATCGCTTATATTTTCCTGTTAGTGGCAGCTATTAAAAAATCGGGTTCTGTGTTTTTGTCACGTTCTGAGATGACCCAGAAACAACATCCAGCAGAGGCAAAGTTGTTCTGCTAAGAGAAGTAGGGAAGGGTGGGGGAAGGTTTTTCCTAAAGCTTGGGGAGGTGACTTCCTACTATAGGCGATTCAAGAGGCACCTCTGACTTCTTCTCTCTCTTGTACACTTAAGGATGCTTGCATGAGTCGAGAGAGGAAGAAGATGTGGAGTGATCATTATTGTAGGAACATTCCCAACACATCAGCACACATACACACAGAGATTCACACCAACCATCTCCACGTTCCAACCGTCTTGAAAGATCGTTCCCAAAACTTCTCTCTCTATCTTTCCTGGCAGTAACACTGCAGGGGGAGGAAAGGCTTCGAGCAGAAACAGGTTCTATAGACTTCCCTTGGATGAGGAGCACCAGGGACAGCACCGTGGGGAAATGGGGCTGAGAAAGATACAACAAGGAGGGTGGGGCTGAGGAGGAGGAGTTGGGAGAGGGAGGAGAAATGGGGACAGTGAATAGGGAGTCATCCAGCCCATGATCTACAGTTCCCCATTCTCAGCCTAAAGCTTCCCCAATAGTTAGCCAAACAAAGACATTAAGTCCCAGGTTCCACCAAATGCTTAGTAGTCAAGCTTTAGTTCAGTGTCTCACAGGTGGTACCGGCCTGTCCTATGTTTTTGCCGCGTGTGTTAAATACTTTTATCATGTGGAATGTTACTTCACAGCCTAAATTCCCTGACCACTGTGATAATTCTCTGTTTCCTTCTCTCCTTTTCCAATCGCAATCACCATTTTACAGCCATCAAGGCCTGTTCCTGTAGCAAATTACCCTCATTCGCCTGTTCCAGGAAATCCTACAGCACCTATGACTCCAGGGAGCAATATTCCTCCATACCTGTCCCCTAATCAAGATGTCAAACCGCCATTCCCACCTGACATTAAGCCAAATATCAACACTTTGCCACCACCTCCAAGTAAGTACTGCATCCAAAAAGTGTGCTTCTGATGCTGCTTTCCCCTCTCTGCAAACTGTACAAAATATTTGTCTCACTGAAATGTTATGGCCAGCAGTGACTTCCTGCTGATAAAGTATCTTTCAGAAATTCGTAAGCCGATGAGGGCAATACAGCTGAGATCAGTGGGAAATTTCTGGGATAGAATGAGACAGAAAATACATTCTCAAGAGAATACATATAACAAGATATATTGGAAAAAGGGGACAGAAGTTTCCCGGTTCTAAATATCTTTATTTCTGTTGTTGTTAGTAAAACTGGGATCTTTTCAGTTTCAGTTCACACCTAGTCCCTATAAAAAGAAGTAAAAAACCACACTGGAAACTCTCAGAGTTATTTCCATGCACAATTTCTTCCTGATCTTGAAGACATGCCGTGTATTAAGTGGAATTCCTCCCATTCCTGCAATTCTTCTGCTGAAAAGGGTTATGTGACTTGCATAATCCCAAAGCCCACTTTTGAGAACGAGAGAGAAGGAAGGAATTCACACCGAGAAATGGGATTGCTCCATCTAACAGGAACGGTTGGGTGCAAAAGCTCAAAAGTCAGCAGCGATGAGCTGAGTAAGTCTGATCTCACCAAAAACAAAAGAGAATGTGGAAACAAGAATATCACTTTGGCTCTAAGGAAATCCAGGAGAAGCTGAATCATATAGTCCAGTATCAATGTATGCATTGTTATCACACTGCTCAGGGTAGCAGGAAAGTTCACTTTTAACTTTTCTCTCCCTCTTCAATCCCAGCCAACCATAACGATGAACTGCGTTTGACGTTCCCTGTGAGAGATGGGGTCGTGTTAGAGCCCTTCCGATTGGAACATAATTTGGCAGTCAGCAATCACGTCTTTCACCTGCGGCCTACTGTTCATCAGACACTAATGTGGAGGTAGGTTTGAAAAAGAGTGAAGAACAAGATGGCAAATAAAATGCTCTTCCTTTAGCCAGCAGTGGACTGGAAGCATGCTCACATTTGAAGATAGATGGGCAGGTTACCTTTGGAAAATCAGGCTATATTCACTCAAAAAGTTAGGAACAAACACATAAGCCCTAGTGAGGTCAGCAAGACAACATCTGAAAGAAATCCAAAGTTACTATCTTTTGAATTACAGGAAGAACAACCACCAAATAAAGCAGAGGTTTTAAGAAGAAACTTTTAATTTCTACTTTTTTTTTTTTTTTGCTATAGAAACTCTATCTTTCTGTTGTTTTAATTTGCCTTATTTCTGCCTTTGAAAGATGCAGATAGTTCTCTTACAGATTGCACTGAAAGGAGATGGGAGAAAGGAATCTCATCCTGCACTGGTGGCCCTCAATATCATCAAAGCAATATATATGTTATTTGATGTGGAAAATTAACGATCACCCATTTCACTGAGCAGAAGAACTAGAATTTAAATGCTAGGAATCTCAGTTTGAGGCTGTTGGATAAGTCCCATCCTTGACCTTAGGATACACTAATGAGATTTCTTATGGACCCAGTGGAGTTCTCCTACAGCAAACCCACACACTATGAAAAACGAGAATGCATCATTAAACAGCAGTAGGCATGCTTTCAAATGCTAGATCAGAGCTCATGCGCATATGTACGCAAATACAGAAGTACTTCTGAACCTCAGGTAACCAGGTTGCTTGAGACCTAAGACTGAGTTGTGGAAAACTGCCAGTTTATCGTTCACATTTGCAAATGGAGAGTGAGGAAATTACAGTATGGATCCACCCTGAGACATGGTAATTACTATCACCTGTAAATCATGGTTAGGCAGGTCTTCTGGACTCCTACAAGAAGCATGCTTGGGTTTCTGTTTAGGCCGCATTGCTGGAAGTTTTGCTAAAAAGTAGAGCGAGATGACAAACAGCAGCATTCTTCAGTAGATTGGAAGCAAAAATGCTGCTCAAGGAAAGCCAGAAGTGCAGGAAAAGTAAATTCAACAAGTTTATGAGAAAATAATTAAATTGACCCTAATCCAGATAGCTTCATTGGGAGTGTTAATGAAAGCTTGGTATTATATCCCAGTGAGTCAATTTCAGATGCTCCAGTGAACAGCTGTTTTAAGAAGGGATAAGCCATTAGGACAAACACTCAGGTTTTCTGAATTGGATGCAAAGCTAATGTCAAGGAATCCCAGGTTTTCAAGGGGCAGTTAGCCGTTTGGAGAATGCAGATAATAAACTACGAAGGACGGCTCTTGTATCAGACTCCTGCAGTTCCAGAAATGCAGCCCTTCGCATGGCCAAGGAGTCTTCTGCACAAAGTTAGCAATAGATGCATCTGAACTGCAGGCTAGCCTGTAAAATCCGATGCCATCATAAGTTTGTCTGTCAAGGAACATAAAGCTCTGTGTCACGTCAGGTTATTTGTTTCATAAAATGCATTAGCCATTTTTCTGGAAGGAGACGCTCAAGGCATTTGATGAAGTGCTCAGAAGAAAGCACTTCGGCCACAGACTCCAGCAGCCCAAATGGCTAGTGTTAAACCAGGAGGCAGGGCTGGGCTTGCAAAGCTTTCTGATGTGATCCAGATTGCTCTGCAAGCCTCTGTGAAAAGGCTGTTCTGAATACTGTAATATTTAAATCCAAACTAGCCAGTTAGCACAATGATATTCCCCTCAATTCCATTTCTCTAAAAATACTCTTCAGTCCCTTCTGCTAATGGAGGCATTCCCCAAATCTACATATATAGCTAACAAAGCATTCACTGTCTAATCCATCAATAAAACAGAAATAAACAGCAGCTACAGAAATAAATCATTCCCAAAATGTACTGCAATTTAAGCCAATTAAATTAAAGCTGCAGCATTAAAAGAAAGCCACCGAAAAGTCGGATGCCTTAATCTCCACCAGCAGATGAACATCAGAAGCCTATCTCCCCAAACACCTGCATATTCCATGCTGAAGAAATTCAGCAATGCTTAAGCGAGTCCAGTACCAAGAGAAAGGCTGATTTCTCTCTTCAGAGAAGCACACACTGCTGATCTCCCTATGAAAAGCCAAGTAATCACATTTAGCCTTCCTCTTGGAGGTCAGTGAGGGTCTTACTCCCAGCTGAGTAAATGTGTTAAGGTAACAAGCAAAGCAGGAGACCGTGTCTTCCAGCAGTCACAAGCAGGTCTTATTCATGCAGTATTTGGCAGTCACATCAGGCTGTTCATGATTCATGCTTTTCTAGTTACAGGGAAGTTGATTAACATGAATGAGCCTGCTGGTGGCTTGTCAACCACTCCCACCCACTTCCACACCCAAGTATGGCTGCATCCTGTAGTGATCTCAAAAAAAGTTACGAGTTTGCATAATCCGATTCTGGATTCCTTAATCCAGTGCTCAGAGCAGTGGAGAGGAAATAGATGCATTGCTTTTTTGACCCCCAAAGTATTGAATTGTACATGCACTGTTTGCAATAATAGAACCAGTGATCAATTATTACCCTGGAGGCATTATCCTAAATGAACTAAAGAAATGCCTAGCAGGGCACAAAATAACTCCAATTTGTAAATGTTTCCAGCTCAAAAGGCTGGAAATATTGTGAAGCTCAGAACATGTCTGATACAGCGGAACAGTGACAGAACACTTCCAGAAGATTAGAAGAACCCATTTTGAAGTCAAGTGCTTTTGAACTTGAAATGTTTTGTGTGTCTCTAGGAAAAACTACAAATGGATGGGACCTTCTACAAATCATGACACATTTTCAAAAATAGCCCAGAGGAGGCTTATTTTCCTAATCTTGTTCAGATCAGACCTATGTATATAACTTGAATGGACCAGAGGGTGACACTTGGATATGTAGATTGTTCTTCCCCTGAGGCATAGTATGCCAGTCACATAGATGCCCTGAACTTCCTTTTCTGTAGCTCCCGAGCCTCTGAGACCAAGCTGCCGAAATTCAGCAGCTGAAGCATGGTGCAATTTCTCACCAATCTGGAGCCAGAACAAAAAAGACAATACATCAAGCATTTGGGAAAACTAAACAGCTTCTTCCAATGAAGCCTCCAGAAAACAGCTCCATCTACTGGTGTCCCTATCCTACAGTCCCAGGCTGCCAAAAACAATAAAAGAAAAAGAGGAAAAGTGTGCTTCCCACCCCAGTAGCATCTAAAGATCATCTAAATGAGTCCTTTCTGGATTGGCAAGTGCCTCCCTCTTTCAGCCCCATGGGTTTTGCTGGCCTGAGTCAGTTGATGTGACTTTGCTCTGTGTCCTGAAATAACATGCTTCCAAGACTACCTGAAAAAAGAAGAGATGGTGTCCCATTCCATCCTAACCCATTTTGCAGCACTACCATGTTGAAAACTAAAAGGTAGGTTAGATTTTACCAACATCCACCCGCAGAAGAAGGGTCACTATGCATTTTAGCCCCCTATCTTTTGACAACACTTTGGAGATCAGTGCTTCAGTGCTCAATCCTTGTCCCATCTTCTTAGAAACTAAGTTCCCCTCTAACAAAACTCAGAGGAGGAAGAAGAGTTGGTCACCAGTACCACTGAGGTTGAAATGTAAGCCCTTCTCTAGATCTGAATTCTCATGGAAGGACTGCCACACTTTGGTTTAAGAACTGCGTCCAGATTTCCACCAGTAAACCAGGCAATGCTGGAGAACATTTGCCATTGGTATCCCCAGTTCCAGGCTGTAACCCCAAGAATGTGCTAGAGATGAACATAAAAAGCAAGCAGAGCTCCAATCACACCATTGTGTCTGCCATCTTGACTTTTTTTAACCATACAACTGAGGAAGCACCAAAAAGTAGCCCTAATGTAGCACTAGTTTCTAGTGGCTTCAGTCCTAAATGTTAAAGCGGAATTATAAAATTATGTTTTGTTGAAAAAGCCATAATAGCCTGGTTAGAGCACTGTCATTGTGGGTAAGTTTACTTATCACATTAAGCCAATACCAAATCACTCTTGTCAATCCCAGCCAATGTGTTATTTCCAGGAGTCAGTGTCCTCAATTTTAGATTTTCATAGCTGATTTCCTCTTCATTATCTTTCCGTCACCACAGTCAAGTGAGCTGGTGTATATTTATTAATAAATACTCACCACTGGCATTATTCAGTCTTGTTTTGAGTTTTATAGAGCTGCACAGAAGCACATGGCTGTTACTGCTCGAAGCTCAAAAGAAAACAGGCTAGAACACTAAAGTGATGAGCTTATATTTAAATTAATTTTCAGTACTTCCGTAACAGCGTCGCCCTAAGAATTTTCTTTCAGAATGTGCCATTTATGACAGCAGGCTTGTAAGACATTGTGAAAATAATGCAAAGTCTTTCTTGTTGCTTTTAGGCTTTCCTTGAAGCAGAAAATGCAGACGGTGTTGAAATTACAGTTTAATTTTCTAATGCATGGCTAGACTTTATTCTGACTCTCAGTTATGCCTGCCCAATAAGATCTCAAAGAAGAGGCTTCTTCAGGTCTCCTTACTTAGAGATTGCCATCTGTAGGGCCAATGGAGGTAGACCTTTGTAGCTGCTGCCCCCCCACTCCTTCTTAGGAATCACATTCCCCCTGAGATCTGGACAGCCCTGAATCTGCTGGGCTTTGTCAATAGGCCTTGGGGCAATGGGAACGCTGTGAGCTCCTCCCTCCCGCAATCCGAAATTTAATGAATGGAGAGTTTATCTCTAGCACTGCACTTTGCACTCTATTTATCCATGTTTTAAACTTAGGGAGATCAACTGCTCAAAGTTGCCTTCAACTGGAGCAACATCTGAGCCCTACAAATAAACAAACAAGCAAACCTCGATTAACAATTTATTGCCAATGGAGATGTGGAATTTTAATTTGAAGTTTTCCTACTGTGATTTATGTTTCCTACGGTTCAAATTATATCTGCATCAACTAGCCACAGTTAGAAACAGATATCTTGCATTTTGGCTTTCAAGCTATGTTTCCTACGGCTCAAATTATATCTGCATCAACTAGCCACAGTTAGAAACAGATATCTTGCATTTTGGCTTTCAAGCAGATAAGCAAGTATCACTTGTCTGCTTATTTTAAAAAAAAAATCAGAATTTTTTAAAAAGTAAATTCATTTAAAAAAAAAGTTTAAAGAAAATTAAGTGTACATACAAATTGGATGTGTTTAATTTGGACATAGCCTATTGCTTGAATCCTGCTATTATGGCTTGTAATAATAATGCTAATTATTCCTAGTTCAGTTGTCATGCTAAACCTAGTTCTTTTAGCCAGGAATCAGCTTAGCCTCTTCTTGACCATACACCTTTCCTTCTCTTCCATTTTCACATGTAATATTTACCTGTCCCCATTCAATGTCTACTGTGGCTCTATGATTCCATTTTTATTTCCTCTTTCTAGTGTGTCAAATCTCTGTTTGAACAGTGATCGGCCAATTATAAGGCACTTCAAGAATTAAAACATCTTAAACAAAGGGCAATCATGTACAACAAAGCTGAAATAATTCATAACTTCTTAAGTAATTTTGAAAGTATTTTGCTAATTACTTTGCAGATGATCTGATCTGTGTTACGAAATGCATGCCGAAGTACTCTTTAGAAATCGCTTTTTTATTGTCTAAGAGAAAAAACAGAGAAAGAATTTACATGAATATTCATCACTCATAGATTATTCAATTAGTGCATGTATATGTATAGTGGTGTATGTACGTGGGTATACACACACATACATATGCACCCACTCATATATATAAAATCATAGCAGTATTTGTGTGTGTGTGTATCTCATACCATTCTATAAGCATACATTTTGTTCATATTTCAATCAGTTAATGTGACTTGAAGAGTATTCTACACAGACCAAACTTCTAAGTGGCCCTTCCACTAAGGGGGAATGCATGGAAATAAAAAATAGTTTTTCACTTCACTCTATGACTAATGGAAAAGGCCATCATTCCATTCTTGTAATATCACCCTCTTAGAAATGAAGACTTTGTAATGTTCATGTCTCTTGTGGAAATCCCTTTTCAGATATTAATTCTTTATTCTGAGATACCGAAAACACATTCTGAGTTGAGTAGTGAAGATGAGAGTGTGTATCACATGGGTATGAGCCCTGAAAGATTAGTTAAATCAGCTAAATCTGTATTTTGCAAACTTCTGATAGCTGGCATACATCTTTTTACACTCTTAATATTTCTGGAGTATAAATATCTTCTCATGTACACTCTCAAGTTAAAGCTATGGCAGGTTTACCTCCATTCACATCAAGCATCTTATGAAGGAACTTCTACTCTGAGGTTCTCCCCTTGCAGTCAGAGGACAAGCAGAAGGGATGACAGCTGAAGTGCAGTTTGAGGACACTGAGGCAAATCAGATTAAGCAGAGATTTGAAAACCAGTTTCAGTCCTGTTTTATGTTGGGAGAAACAAAACGAAAGACAGAGAGAAAAGTCTAGTGTTGCTTTTCCATACAGTGTAACATCTCTTCCTCTGTGTAGTGCAGTGCGCACAAATTTTTGCAGATCGAGCTGATCAGATCCAACTACTTTGAACTCCAACTGGGGACAGGGTACCATAAAGTTATAAGGGGCAATTTATGTGTGATGGAATGTGGGTTGGACGCAGAGAATGCCAAGCTGTTACAGAAAAAGTATTTGAGTTGTGGGAAGGTAGAAAGCATGAGGAAAAAACTCAGAACAACTCTGCTTTGATTGGGTTAGGTATAAGTTAAAATAGAAAGCAGCTTTGACAGGTTTTCAAAATGGATATCAGCCTGATTCTCATATTACTTTATTTCTAAATTTTGACTGAGGACTTCTTGGCTGCCCTTTCCTTCCCCCAGACTTCTGAGGCATACAATTTTGAAATTCTATGGGAACTATTCATCTTTCTTTCTGAAAAGAGCTGTCATGAAGCCCTACCAAGCCATCTCCAAAAGAGTGCAGACCTGGCCTGGTGATCTTCATTAGCGCTCTTACTTCTGCATTTCCACAGTCTGGGAAGCAATATAATAGAAACATAGATCTGTAACTGGAAAACAGGTTGGGAGTCACCACACAAATGTGTGTTTCTCCCAAAGCACAAGCACTACACAGAATCATAAAATTGTAGAGTTGGAAGGGGCCATGAGGGCCTCGAGTCCAAGCAGAGCTCCAAAACTTCATTTGTGAACAAGCAGATTGTTGGTGGTGATATAAAAAACATTAGATTCATCTTTGTAGGTGAGGTTTTCCCACATGTGGGAAAGACAAGAGTTTTATCATATTTTTATTCTTCAGTCAGTCTAAAGCAGAATTATGGTTGATTATGTTGTACAAGGCAAAGTTAAAGGCTGAGGTAAATCCTCATTTACCTTACATGTGTAATAAGCCGTTGTTTATACCAATGCAAACATGCCTTCTATGACAGATCAGACTTGGAGTTACAATTCAAGTGTTATCACCATGAAGACAGGCAGATGAACACTAACTGGCCAGCGTCGGTCCAGGTCAGCGTCAATGCAACTCCGCTTACCATTGAACGGGGCGACAACAAGACATCGCATAAACCCCTGCACCTCAAGCACGTTTGCCAGCCAGGAAGAAATACAATTCAAATTACTGTCACAGCATGCTGTTGTGTAAGTACCTAATGGCTCTGTTAATTCTGTGGTTTGGCTGTACCGAAATAGTTCTAGATGAAGGAAATGTTCTAACGAGACCTCACATTCCTGGTATTTTTCACTGGTGTTTGTTTGGCTGCATTTCTGCTGGAGGCCAAACTAACTCAGCGATTTTTTTCTTTTCCAAATTCAGTTTCTATACCATGATAATTTTTTGAAATCTAGGGAAACAATCTGCAAACGTATGTACAGTTACCTCGTGAAAAGTTATACCGAATTCAGCAAGAATTATTTTTCTTTGTGTGGTCTGTGTGCATGTACAAATGCACACTCACTCGCTCTCACAGTCAAACACAGGACTGTATTTTAAGTTTAGTCATGATTCATCAGAAATGCTTCAAATGTTCAGTAGCTATAGGCAGACTCATGCTGAATACTCTCACTGGTAGATTGTCGGACACTATTAAAGGGCAGGAAATGGCTAATTGTTTAGCTTGGTTTAATTTTATGGTACTATGTAACATTCTTTGGATTTTCCATCTTGGATGCCAAAGTATCTTGTACCTATTCTGACTTTAGGACTCAACCAGGAAGCTACAATTAGGCTAACCATCCCACTAAGGATCCTGGGAAAGATTTAGAAAAATGCAGGATTAATTTTTCATACTCCAAAGACGCCTAGTCCCAAACTCCTATGCAAATAATTGAATTGGATCAACTACTTCAATTTAGAATCATGAATCCAAGCTTTGTGGAATTAATTTAACACAACATGATATAATTTGCTACTTCACTGAGCGGTTGGGTCAGCCAGCCAAACCTTTGGCTGGAAGCTTGTTTACAGCCAAATATTCAGGATAAAGGTTTATCAGGAGCCTAGCGTGAGAAGTAAAAAAGAAAAAATCCTTATAAAAGGCAATGACAAATAGAATCATCACAATCTTGATTAGGGACATATATTTTCTTACCTAAAAAAAATCCATGTGTTAAAGGGAAATGATTTTACTCTGTCAATAGATTTCTTGCTTCACAGATCCCCCAGTAAAACCAGTTATAATGAGCTGCCCAGTGACATCTCTCAGCTTTAAGAACAAATAGAAATTTAACTAAAATTCAGTACTGGGCCCAGAGCATTGCATGGATGTGTCTATAAATCAAGCCAGCAGCATCCCCTGGGGGTGGGAAGGAAGGAAGGAAGGAAGGAAGGAAGGAA